TTTAAGTCATGAGTTCTATCTTATTGGGAAGGTGGATGCCTCACCTGTCATAATTTCCATCATTATTAAGGCTTTGGTTGCGTGTTTTGGCGCTTTTGGGCCCTCCTAAAAGAGCATATTCCATGATCCAAAATACCAATACCAAACACAATTTGCATAGTGACAACATAAAATTGATAAATAAAGGGATTATATGGACTTTGAGGATAAGCATTTTCTTGTCAATGACAAGATGTCCTAAAAGTAGATTCCTTTTAATATAAGTTGATTGGTCATCCATCATCATACCCCTAAAGAATAATATATAGTTTAAGGTCATCTTTGGCGACCAAATACAATTATATTATCATGGAAAGAAAGTGAAGTTATTATTGGATCAATTAATCATTAATGGAGTTTTTAAAAAATTGTCCTAGAAAACAAAAAGGTGGGTTAGAGAATCATGTTGATGGGATTTCTTTAAGTAGGCTTTAGAAAATAAAATCAAAGACAAGGGTTTAATTATCTATAGAAAAATGGCTTTTCTTAGTGGTGTTATGCATCTTGGAGTTGGTATAATTGACTTATTTGTCACATTCAAACCTAAAGTTGAGCGCTTTATAATAACTCTAGTATAACAAAGGAAATTAGGTTTGAAAGCTTTATAATATAATAACTCTAGTATAACAAAGGAAATTAGGTTTGAAAGCTTTATAATAACTCTAGTATAACGAAGGAAATTCATGCTTTCAACGTGAGCATGAGTTATGATTGGTCGACTATGTTCACCACTCTCACATAAACGAATAACATTTAAGTACTTGTTGATAAGTAGGTATTTTCTACTCACCACCATCAAAAACTGAGAAAATAGATTTTAAAACAAAAAACAAATAGATGTCAACTTTTTTCTCTCTCCCTTCTTTTAGTACAACAACAACGAGGAATCGAACATTCAACCTTAAAGGGAAGGAGTGTATGTCAATTACCACTGAGTTATTTTCATATTGGCAGATGTCAATTTTTTAACAGCACATGAGTAAGAAGATATCTATTTACCGGTAAGCACCTAAATATTATTTTTCATCAAAAGAATAATAAAACTTTTGGGGTCATTTTGCTAAATAAAAAGGTTAATGAAAACTTTTGAAACCCATCTACCTAACCTGGCATAGTCCAAATATTAAATATAAATCACAAATTAAAAATCAATGAAGAAAGGAAATAAAAGAAATTAGTTCATGTGACATAAAACAGTTGCAATATTTTATACTATAGTTTGGCCAAAATCCATGCTAAACCAACATATTGGTTCAATTAAGAATAAGAAAACCTGCTCCAAAACCAACATTACAATATAAAACCACTAATATCAACAAAACCAACTAAAGAAGGGACTAGAACCCAATTGAATTACACATTTAACTACTGCATAAATTGTCAGCTACAATTACAAATGGCCACATTCAAATATTTTGCACTATAGTATATGTTTTTGATGAAAGGGAACCAAAAAAATGACAAATAGAGATCAATACTCAAATCACAGGGGCAGACCTCCACCTAGACTCAAGTTTCTTGAGGTTAGGATGCAATAAACCCTTGTAAACAATAAAATATATGTTGGGGTTGTTTTACTTACTTTTACCACACTGAACTCTTCAATTTAAAAGCAAAGAAATTCATGCACTTTTTTCCTTGTTGTTTTTCTTGTCCATGTACCTGGGTAGAGAAGACAAGACTGTCTGTCCTCTGCTGGGCAAAGAGTATCTCACACAGATTACCAATCTTTTGTACTGTACATTTGTCTTTTTTCTCTTTCAGGTCCTTCCTCCTGGCCTCTCCTGTTCTCTTTCTTACATCCTACTCCAAAACAACATCCTTTATATGAACTATCTTCTTTTCCTGTGGAAATTACGGTTTTTATGTAAAAGAACATGAGATTAAAAGATCCACTACTTGATTATTGTGTCAGTAATTCAGGGAAAGGAGAGTTAATTAGAGGGCTGTGGTAGAGTACTGTTAAAAAGTTGTCCTCAAGTTTTTAATACAAAATTTTGTTTTTGTTTTTCCTAAATAAATGTGTTTTTGAAGTTGTTATTTTAGTAGTTTTCCAGGTAACTTTTAACCTGAGAATTATAATTTTAACCTGTGATCACTAATACTATTCAACAGAAAACATACCTTACAAAATAAGGAGGCTGTTTTAGGAGTTGTTTAAATAAGGTAACTTTTTAATTATTTTTTTAAAAAATAAAACTTTTAGGTGTCCTGGAGTTGAAGAGTAAAACACACAATCAATTGTTTTAAAAATAAGCCACGTAAAAAAGGAAAAGATAAAAAAAAACTAAAAAGATGTTGAGAATCTTCTACAGTTCTGCTTCTTGTCTTTTTAGAAGTTAGCTAGAAAGTGCAAGAAATTTTCTTGTCTTTTTCCATTTACCAGTTTTCATAACCACACCTTTGACTCTAGTGAGCATATTAGTTACTACTTTTTATTAGAGTTTAGGTTTCTCTGTAATTTTTTAGTTATTCTACAACATGTTACCTCTCTTGGTCAATAGAATTTTTTTTTTCTTTTTTGAGTTCGACAATATAAAGTTTCTACCCTTCGATCGATGACAGATGTCATACTCAATTGAACTAGACTCAAGTAGACTCAAGTTGGTCAATAGTATTTGATTCCGTATTAATTTGAGAATTTCAAGTTATTGAGTTATTTTCAGCGGTTTCCTGGAATTTACCAAACTAACAGTAAAATAGAAATTAAAATCAAGTTGGGCCCTTCTTCCAACGCCATCTACAACTCTCTTGTTCGACCTAGACAACTCATTGTTGATTTTTTTATCCTCCAGTGAAACATTTACAATTGAAAGATGATCAAGTTTACTTTTCATTGATATCCAGTTATCAGACCACTGTACCGCAAAAACTAAAATTTTGGGAATAGGTGGGGCCTTACAATTTATTTTCTTCTTAGCTATGTAGTATAAGCAAACAATAAGAAGGATACAGCAAATTAAACAAGTTGAAAACAGAGAGATTATATGAAAATAGCAGAGGATAGAGTGAGCTTGCTGACCTTTCTTTATTATGAACGCTCCTTAGCACTGTCCTGGGTGGTAGCTTGCTTGAAAGCCACAGTGGGAGCTATTCTGAAACTCCGCCTCTGATGTTCAAGCACTAATTCTCCAGCAAACCAGTCAAGCTTCTCGAAGTTGGTTTGCTCTGCAATCCGCTTCCCTCCAAAGAGCACAGATTCAACATTCTTCTGCTTGAGAACCTCATCTGCCAATTCAACCAGCATTTTTACATTGACACCACTGGAGTTGCTAGAATCAGCTTGGCCTAATAAGCTCGATCCAAGCGCCTGAAGTACCAATAATGATTGGTTGAGCATCATGTCAATAAAGCTAAGGTCTTTCATTTCACTCAATAACAGTGTGGGTTCCATAAAAAAATGAAATTACTATCAAAGTAAATTTTTTTTACCGATAACAGTTTGTATGAGAGAGATGGGGGAATGATGCAATCTTGCACAATGATTTTATGAAACTAACTCAATAGCCATTCATTAAAGAGGTTGAAACCTATTTATAGAGGTTTCTCACTTAAACTCTACAACTGTAACTACTGTTACTGCAGTAAATGTAAAGCCAACTAAACAAATGCTGCAGCTAAGGTATTTACACGGTAACGGCTATTTTAACAGCCTATCTACATCAGGGAATATTCTCCAATTTACAACGGAACCAGAAAACTTCCCCTAATTCCGGAGAAGAAGGCACAATAATAGCCCATCAAAGTATTATTCTCACAGGCTTTAAGGTGTTTATAGTAAGATAGCTTGGTTGGAGCGGTGGACCAATTCCTGCTACATCACACATGGACCCCAACAAAGAGTAAAGTACCGTTTTGTATTGTGCACCACTGTCCCTTAACAAACTTGTGGTCAGCTTTCCATCAAACCCATACCCTTCCCCCTCCAGCATTTACACCCCTTACCCGCACACGTACAGCTATATTTCCTCCTTTTGAGGAAACTTGCAAAAAGATTATTGCAAGTTCAGCTACAGGCCTTGGTTAGGCAAATGGGCTTCGTTATCACATTACTGTTCTCGTAGAAACAAACTCTTATAGAGAAAATTAATGGATTAGAATCTTTCTGTTTATGCCTCAAAGTGGGCGTTGATTATACAGAATGAAAGAGCCAAAATAGCAAACTTGCCCACAGGGTCCCCATATGCCATCTAATCAGTAACCAGTAATCCCCATATGCCAAAACCACACAGGTGTTCTTGTGGCTTTTCACTAGCAGAAGGCCAACTCGACGAAAGAAACACCTAAATTTTGTCCCAACTCCCACCTACTTTTTTTTTTTCTATGCTTTATCCACTTAAACAATCTTCAGATTAGCCCAACTGTGTAATAACTAATAACCCCACGACTTTACTATAACGACAATATTTAATTCCCGACTGGTATTCTATTAAAATAATATGATGCAGACTTTATGGTAAAATTTATGCATTTGTTGTTGGTATCAATTATCGTTGTTTTAAAGAAGGAATGTTATCATTTAAAAATGAGAGGCATGACAATTGACAAATAAAGAAAAGAAAGCTCTTGGAAATGGGAATAGGATTCAGTCGTGTGCACGTGGCAGATTGTCGTACCTGAATCCGCACGTAATTAGAGCTCCTGGACTGACCGAATGCCATGGCGATGGCCTGGTCCACCATGTCGGCTGAGGCCTCACCAGAGATTTGAGTCATGGGCCGAACCCACTCCTTCTCCTTCCACCTTCTGACCTGACGGTAATCGCGGCGGGCCTCGAATGGCTGGCCGGTTCCTAAGGACAGAACCAGAAGGTCCTCCACTCCTCGCACGAACGGAAACTCTTGTTTGTTGTGCAGAACATGCGTGATTGCAGCCGCCGTCGGGTTGCTCATCGCCAATCCGCCGTCGATTGCAAGGCATTGGGTTTGATTGTCCATAGACCTCAACGCCACCGGTTCAAATATGGCCGGTTCCGCCGATGTTGCTCTGCAGACCTCCCACAGCCGGAAGTTGTAGCCCTCCGTTTCAAGGGCGTCGGCTCGAGAGAACAAAAATGGCGCCGTAGTTGACAGGTCGTAGCAAGGTACCAAAACTGGTTTTAGAGTATCTTTTAGGGTTAAACTCCGTCCTCCCTTGTCAGTGAATGCTTCTTTCAGCGCTTTTTCTAAAACGGCGGTGGCTGAACTGGTGGAATTGGTTCGGTTGATTTTGAAAAACCGCCCGATCACTCCTCCGCCGGAACTGGAATTTGAGCGGTACAACCGCTTGCCTTGATCGGCTAAGAACCGCCAGGTTTCCTCTGCCTTGTACACCGGCCGACTATGGTCCTTAGTTGCGAAAAGCATCGCAGTGAAAATGCCTCCCACGCCGGCTCCGGCGGCAACGTCGAAATAATCGGCGATTCTGGCGTCAGGATTTCCCGATTTCGACTTCAGCGCTTGTTCGAGATAAGCCAGAGCCTTACCTGAGAGAATCCCTCCCATACCGCCGCCATCGATGCTTAGAATGCAGACCTTGCCCCTCTGGTTTCTTATCGACGAAGCGCCCCGAGTTGCTTCCGGTTGAGCGTGCGCTTGAGTTTCTGAGTCGGATATCGTCTTGCCTTCTACAGCTGGAGATACCTGCTTAGGAATCCATAGCTTCTGATCGTCGTAGCCAAAGAGAAAATTGCTCTCAAGAATCGAGAAGATTTCATAACTTAGCTTATCGGTATCTATACTCGGCTCTTGCATTTCCTAACGAATTCGACTCCACAGTTCAAATCAATTAACAGCCAGCAAATTCGTGCGTCCAGATGCAAACAACAACAAGAAAAACAGCGTTTACAGCGTTCCGTATTTCGTTTCCTTTCCAAAGATTATACTAGTCTCATTCCTCGCATGCCTAGCTCCGAAGAACAAAACTCCGTTACGGAACCCCACCGAGCCAAGAATCGTTCTCGCAGCTCAACCAGAACGAGTCAAATTCAACTTCCACACCAGCAAAACAAGATTTGACTTTCACTTTTAAATTTCCAATCGATAAAACACTACAAACTCTCTTCAAGACGAAAGCAAAACAATATAACCGCGAAATTGCAAAAGAATCAAAAGAAAAAGAAAAAAAGAAAAGTCACGTCGTCTTGACAAGAATGCTCAACCAACCGATTGATATTTCAAATCACTCTGTTAGCGAAAACAGGCGTTTGGATCATCCGTATCCGGAAATTGATTGTCCTTTCTGAAACGTGACGTTCGTTCGCAACTCCGAAAAAGGAGTAGAAATTGAAAAGCCCCTTTCTCTGACTTTTTTCACTTCCTAAAGAGATGAGGGATCGGTCCAAATCATCTGTTTGCATAAAAACGAAAGAAACGAGCATGAATCACAAGGAGGAAGAATCAAGAAAGAACAAAAAGGAAAGAAAAAGAAAAAAGAAGAAACCGAACGGAAACAGAGCCAGAGGAAGAAGACGGAAGATGCAAGAAGAAACCTGCTGCAGTTGCAGGCCACTGACTCTTTCCATTTGTAAGCGAGAACTAATAATCTCCACGCATGACACGGCGCCGTTTCGCTCGTTCGTGACTTTTCTGACTTTGTTTTTACCGTTCTGGCAGCATCGACGGTAGCTGTCATGTCTGAGTCATGATCGGACGGTCCACACTGGCCGTTTCTTGTTTGTCCGTGATGAACGGCGAAATTACAAAAAAGTCCGTTATTTTTGTGGTTTTTTTTTCCTTTGCCGCGGTTTTTTTCTTCCGTTACGTGTGGGTCCGGTTCAAACTATCAACGCCGTCGGCGGAGGAGAGTAGAGTGGGCGCGCACTAAGCTAATCTTGGTCTTGTATTCATCCGAAACTCGAATTTCCATAATGACGAAACTGCCCTCCATTTCATTGCATGACCGTTGTTATTTTACTCTATTTCTCTGTCATACGATAGTGTTATGTCAATTTGATGTACTGTCACCTCAATGTTTTATTATTATAAATTTGGTTAACTTTGAAAAGTTTCAATTTAATCGATATAATTTAGGGTTAATTTCAATTGAATTTTTATAATTTTAAAAATTTCGATTTGAAAGATTCCAATCTCCACTCCCACGTGTTATTAGAATTTGAAAAAAGAAAAAGAAAATCAATTTGGTTTATATAAGTGTTGTGAAACCTATAAATCAACCATAAAAAAATTATTTATCCACCTGAAAATCTACCATTTTTTTCTATTTTTACTCTAATCTAGAATCTAATATAGCTAGGGTAGTTAATCAAATAAGAAAATATAGATTCTCATTATCTGAAAACATGGACTCTGAGGTTTGATTAAACTACATGAACCAAATTGAAATTAAACCCTAACCATAAAGAAAAATTAAAAATTTTAAAACTATAGGGACTAAATTGAAAATCTTATAAGATCAAAACTTTCAATTGTGTCTAAACTTTGTAATTATAATTTTACTCAATTTTATTTGTATTGTAGTGTTTTCTTCTTCTTCTTCTCTCTCTTTTTTTTAATTCAACTATATGTATATTACAAAATAATCAGTTTGTTATTTATTCCGTTAATATTTGTTATTCCGTCATTGGTATTTTCTGTATTGAGGGTTTTTACTGTAAATAAGGTTGTTATTGTGTAAATTGAAAATAAGAGAAATAATATCAAATTAATCCCGTCATGTGAATTCAAAGTTTGTTAAATGTTTCAACAATATGAAGGTGAGAATTCAAAGTTTCAACATTCTAATCGATAAAATAGTTGAGCCTGTAGACAAATTAATGTATTGAATAAAGGCATATGGATTAGGAATAAAAGCATAGATGTTAAATTGGAATCATTAAACATTAGAAACCAAATTATCAACTTAACCCAAATGCCACGAAGTCATTATCATGCTCTTGAGTTTGTGATTGTTGAAAAGCAAGTTTAATGATGCCTTCAACTGAATTGAAATTAGTGAAGGTCATTTTGAGGAGTTGTTGGAATCTCAAAGAGAATCATAATATAATATTTGGGTTGGCTTTGAATGTCACTTAGAAGTTACTAATTTTGATGATTGAAATCCTCCAAATTGACTGTCATTTCCCATTCTGTTCGGCCTTTCATTAATCATTTTATTAGCCCTAATGGTTTGATTAGCCAACGCTCCACTATCCATGTCTCATGCTGACCTAAAGCTTAAGAGACAAATATCATCTTTTATTTGATAAATACATCTTCCATATATGAGTGCTACTTGTACTTCGGTTAAACTAATAATTTAGTCCCTGCACTTTCAGATTGGTAACAATTTAGTCCTTGAACATTAATATGTAACAATTTAGTCATTACAATTTAAAGTTGCTAACAATTTTGTCCTTATCGTGAAATATTTTTGTTAAATTTCTCATATATATAGATTGACAAACTAAACAGGGACCAAATATGTTTATAATTACAAAGATAAAATTGTTATACAATAAAATTTGACACTTAATTTTAATAAAATTTTTTACAATATGGACTAAATTGTTATAAATTTTAAATGACAAACACTAAATCGTTACAAGTTAAAGTTCAATGACTAAATTGTTACAGGAACTAAATCGTTACAAACTAATGATCATGGACTAAATTGTTACTTTAGTAAACGTATAGGGACAAAATATGTTTTTTAACCAAAAATTTTCAAGAGTACGTATTTCCTTTATTCACAGTATTTTATAATTTTTATTAATAATTCTTTATAATTAGTGGACTTCGTGTCTTTAATATGATATTTAATATGATATTGATGTAACAGATAACTAATGGAAATGGTATCCAGATCCCGAAATACTAGAAAATTCTCCATGTGTTAGTGATAGTTTTAGCGTGGTAGTTACCAACTTTGTGTTTGTTTCTTGAGAAAAGTTGATGGAAATGAAATGAATAATTTATTGTGGTCCTCTGTACATAATTTATTGCTTATGTTGATCCATTACTAGTAGATTTTAATATTGTCTTTTCATTTAGTTGTTTCAAATCTAACTTTTAGTTCTTTTAAGACAATGTATAATAAAGCGAATTTGTTAAAATATCGAAGAGTGAAAATTTTAAAGGTGATATTTGATAGAATTTTTTCATACAAAAAGTTTAACGAGATAGTATAATTATAAAAGAATGTTTACAAAAAATTCTTCTAATAGATTTGATGTGGATGGTGAGGATTTGAACCTCCAACCTAATTAGATGTCTTTGCTGAATTACGCTAATATTGTCCAAGTATGAATATTAATTTTTGCATTAGAAAGGGAAGAAAAAGAGAGGAAGAACTTGATAGTTCGTTAAGAATGAGGTGTTGAACCTTGACCGAGGAAACATTTGGGTTGGGCCTTGAGAAATGTTACAGGCCCAACTAATGGCCCAATTAAGGCAGCTGAAATACTGTAAATCATTACAAAGGCCCATCTGGGCACTCCAAGCCCAATTAATGGCCCAGTTGAGGTGTAGCTTAATATTCCGTGGATCACGACAAAAGCCCATGTCTGATTCTGATCCGGGTACAGAACCCTCCAACATATTTGGAACTGGAATGAATTCGAATCTTTTGAAATTGGACCCCATGGAATCTTCCCCAACATGCTTGGAAACTTCAGTTTTCCAATGGATTTCATTTCCAGCCACTACTTTCAATCACTCTCTTCGCCTCTGAATTTTGCTTCCATGGTTATGGGATTACACTCCATCATCATCTCGTCCGCCTTATTCTGCCCCAAAAGCCACGAACGACGCCTGCAAACTTTTCCACGATCGCCATCTCCATGTTCAAGGATCATTCGACGAATCTTCGACAGATCGAAGAAGTAACGTTCCTTACTTATGGTGTTTCATTTTTATACCTTTAATCCGTCGATTTTGCCATGTTTCCGAGCGCTGTTTGGTATGAATTTTGAATTTCGCTCGCTTTGATCTTACCAGCAGCTCCAACCGTCGCTTACTCTGCTTCAAGCAGAAAGAGGAAAGCCTACAATCAAGAGAAGAGCTACAGCCTGTTAGGGCTTCTGAGAAGAAAGGAACTGTAGCAGGAGCCATGGCTCTCGTAATTGGTACCAGCATTGGATCAGGGATTCTTGCACTTCCAGAGAAAGCATCTCCGGCTGTAACTCTCTCTCCCTCCCTTTCTCTCTTTTGTCTTTAGCACTTTATTCAAAAGATGTAGAAAACGGAGGTTCCGACAGATTATTCTCTTGTAATTCTGTGGCAGGGATTTTTTCCCAGTTCGATTACTATAATACTATGTTGGGGCTTTCTTCTATTAGAAGCGCTCCTGCTGATTGAAATTAATGTGGTTCTGTGGAGGAGGAGGAAGAAGAAGAAGAAGGAAGAGGGAGAGACGGGGATGGAGGTGATCTCCGTAAGGACTATGGTGCAGGAGACGCTAGGGGACTGCGGTGGAACCCTGGCCAGTGTTGCCTATGTTTTCTTGGGCTACACTTCCATGGTTGCCTATATTTCCAAGTCCGGAGAGATTCTTCTCCATTCTTTCAATCTTCCAACTCCACTTTCAGGCTTCCTCTTCACTTTAACTTTTACTATGCTCATTTCCGTTGGTAGGACCATAGCCATTGATCAAGTCAACCAATGGCTTACCGCCTGTATGATAGGTAACTTCAGGCTCGACAAGTTTTATTCCCTTTCAAGTCGATCAAACTCAAGGATTAAAATATCAATGTCAAAATATAAAAAAAAAAGATATAAATACTTTTTATGATATTTATACAAGATATAGATTGGTAATTAATATTGATATTGGGCCTCCGATTTATGGATATATCAACATGTAGACAGATATTTTAATCATTGATTGAACTACATTAAGGATATTCCGTTTTTAAGTGCTGTTCTTACTTTCTTGGAACAAAAATTCAATGCAAACATATCTGGATAATCATTTTCTAAAAATTCTCTCTCACTTTCCTTTTAGTTTGTTCTCGGATTGTTTTTGAGAAGAAGGGGAGTTGTTATTACTTCTAAATTATGGACCTGTACATTATGGTTTTCATTTTTAAATTTACAATAATCTTCAGTCTTCACCTTTATACACTACTTGAAAATGGTGTTTGATAACAGTTTTATAGACAAAACTGTCTATATATCTTCATATCTTCCCTGTTGCAAAAGCAAGCGGTTGACTCTGGCATTCTTGAATGTCTTTGGTGAACAGGTTTATTACTTGGAATTGAGGTGTTAGCTGTTCAAAGTGGAGGATGGTTTGCAATGGAAGGTGGAGGAGACTGGGGAAAGGCCCCAACCACAATACCTGTTATTATCTTTGCTTTGGTATACCACGATGTAATACCAGGTAAAATTATGTAAGAGATTTGTTTTAATTAATATCATTACTTTGCTATTGTTTACATGATTTGTGAAAGCGTGAAGCTGTAGCCCCCATTAGGTTGATAAAACCTTATATACCTTGGCAGTTCTTTGTGCTTATTTGGAAGGTGACCTTCACCGCCTAAGAGTTTCAGTTTTGCTTGGTAGCTTCATTCCATTGCTAGCATTGCTCATCTGGGATGCGATTGCGCTTGGCTTGTCAGCGCAAGCTGATCAAGTAGTTGACCCTGTTGAATTGCTCCTAAGGTAGTTCATTCAAATCTTCAAGATTTTGTAGAGTAGCTTTATTAATGATATGCCAAATTATCATCTCCTCAAGTTTCTGAAAGAGTTTTATGGTTTGACATCCAGAGTGAGATGGAGTGGAGTTTCTTACATGGTAGAATGGTTCTCACTTCTTGCTGTTGGAACATCCATGCTTGGAACTTTGCTAAGCTTCTCTGAGTTTTTCAAGGAGCAACTCAGCAATATTTCATTGAATTTCTCTATAACAAAGACTGTGCAAGTAATTTCTTCAGTCCCTGATTCAATGTTGTCTCCAAACATATCTGCTATATATTTACATGTTGAAGCACAAAACTAATGTGGCTACCATATATGTTCTTGTCTACGACAGGAACCATTCAAGTTCTGCTTAACAAGGAAATGGTGGGAAATGAATAAAGTTAGTCTCACTGCCATGGCAATTGCTGTTGGTCCTTCTCTCCTTGTGTCCACTGCTAATCCAGATTCATTCTCTGCTGCCACGGATATTGCAGTAAGTAACATAAGCAGGTGCTTGCTGTTCTGTAAACAATGAATATGCATTGTAAGGGCATCAACTATAATTCAAGCTTAGGTACTTGCACATTCTAAAGTAGAAATCTTAAGTGTGATTTTTGTTTCATTATGAATTTATTTTTCAATAGATTTTCTCTTGATAGTTAAGATTGCAGTCAGCTTCTAATTCCTATAAACTTTATACTACATTTAACTAAGTGAACTTAGGAAGTGTGGATCTGCATTTACCCTTCAGTACACCATAAGCAATATAATTCCATTTCCATGCCATGGTTGTCTCATGAAACATTTTTGCCATGTGAAGAGGAAATGGTTCTTCTTCATATTTAAGTGGCAGTATGACTAGGCAAACTTTCAATGGAACCATATAGGATTGCTTGCAACAGATGCATATACATACATATTATACGTACATACATATCATATATATATGTCTGAACGCTCACCCCATTTCCTTTTGGTTTATACTCGCGAGACATATAAACTGATGCAGATGTACTCTATTTACTCATCAACATTACTAAAATAAAATATGCCTATGTTGGAAAATTGTTACAAAAGTAAAAAAGGAAGATTGTTGTTTTTGTGGTTTTTTGGTATAACATTTAGCTTATCTTTTTGTTATTAAATTGCCAGTATCTATGTTTCATTAGATAGATCACGTATAAATACCAACCAACCCCATGATTTTTATTAAAAAGTATCAAAGCTATGTTAGTAAGAATTATTTGTGGATACCCCTTTTTTATGTAACAGAAATTCAATGCTTGGTTTTTCTGTTTCTCTGATACTCTGAATCAAACAGGGAGGATACTGCATGACACTGTTGTATGGAGTTCTCCCCCCAGCAATGGCATGGGCAATGCACAATGGGCAACCTGAGGACACCAACTCCAAGGCAATATTGTGGGAGAGGCCGGCACTTCTTGGGCTAGGTTTATTTGCCTGTGGTATAATGGTGGAGCAAGTTCTTCAGGATATTCTGAAATTGCAATCCTAGCAAGGTAAAAGCATGTTTTATCTGAATTTGTTTTATTTTTCTTTTTTTGTGGACAAGTTTTCAAAGTCGCATCTTGTTTTGTTATCCTTTTGGAGCCCCCCATTGTCAGACCAGAGTGAGATTTTGTTCTCTATTCTGTCCCTTGTTGCATAATAATTGAAAAAATATGCTGTAATTTAAACAAATTGGTTAAACTGAAATTTCATAAATTTTATAACGTTGGAAGATGCTTGATTGAGATCAACTTGACGTCTTGCTTCCTAGAATATGCAGTCTACTGTCTTCAGACAACACTGCTCTGACTCTGATGAAATAAAACTGCTTGTGGTAATGATAAACTTAGTAAGTCTTACAAAAAGAACTGTGAGAAGGGAGAAAACAAAGGAAGAAGAGATAACCAAAGTCAGTGTGTAAAAGGGGTGGGAGGAGTCTCCCTTATAGTTTGGAGAATGAAGTTGTTATATAACTTTTCATATGGAAGCTTTGCAATCCCTTTCATTCATCAATTTTGTGGGCTATTAGTTCCCCTCCCATATATGTGTTCATACTTCTAAAGTATCGAATTCGTTCAATGGTCTCTCATCTTAAATTAGAATGCTCTTCTTGTTAACTATTTCCCTTATTTTGTCCTTTCTTTACGTTGTTGGACGAAATTAGAATCAAGCAACATATATGCTTAAATAATTGGAAAACATGGACATCTTTTTTGGCAATTCAACTTTCTCTATCTTTCCAGCGTCACAATTGCATGCTTTTGTTCAGCGCCTGTAAACAAATTTCATACAAGGAAAAAAGGCTATATCATAGAATTATAACTATAAAGTTTGAGCTGATTATATTACAATACAATCTTTGCATCTCTAATGTTGGTAGTTTCGGTAATTTGGCCGTACTCTGTGAAATATTTGTCAAAGAGATGATTTTTTTTTTCTTTTTTGTCCGAGGTTTTGATCTACTCCTGCAACAAACAATGAAAGTCTTTTTTCCTTAGAGTCTTGACAGAAGAAAGCCTAGAAATACCATTACTTGTGTAACAGTCTTCATCTTCAACAGAAAAGGTTACAGATACGTGCAGACTGAAGTTGAACTAAACTTGCTGCAAACGTTGAAGAAGACGAGTAACTTGGTTGGTTTGCAGACAATCTTGTTATTATTACATGATTGAAGTATCTGCAGGAAAAATAGCGTACCCGAGGAGCGAAAGCTGTGCCGAGTTTTCGACAGCGAGACCATAGTATGCCTCAGGCCAAGGATCAGATAAAAAGGAGAGAGAAGAGAAGAGAAGGGATAAGATGGTGGAGATGGGTGCCATTTCTTTTCAAGTGGAGTAAGGTACACTTATTCTTTATACTTCGTTGAAGTGGGTGAGTTTATATAGAGCTGAAAAAGCTTGAAACTCACTGAAATGTTTGGCCATAAGGCTGCCTCTGTGAGGTTACTTTAATTTGGTTTCTGGGTCCAATGTGTTTACGAATATGATGTAATGCAATTATGGGGGCGTGCCTTAGAATTCTAAACTCAAGTGAAACAGAATCTGTCATGGTTGCTTATAGTTGAATATTTTGGGATTTGCGAGAAAAAGAAAAAGAAAAAGAGAAAGCAGAAGAAGAATCACAACAAACAAGAAATGAAAAGAATATTGGTCTGGGGGACCAGTCATGTCAGAGATATTTGGACTCCTGTTGTTCATTGTTGAGTGAAAGAAAGGCTTTACGAAGAATCAAAAACAGGAGGTTATGACTGATGGGATGATGAGCCAATTTGAAGGTAATCTTTGTTTTTAAGCCTAAATTATGCATTTTTCTCTTCTGTATTATACTACAGGTGATCTGTCATACTCGTTTATTTAATAATTAATGTGTCTTTTGTGAATGAATTTGTGCTCTGAAGTGTGCTGTTGTCTTTTAACTTTTAACAAGAAATAGGAAAAAGCTTCAAAGATGGAAAAAAGAATGGCGTATGATTTGAAGACGTGGTGTGTCATTTAAAGTAAAGAAGGCGTTGAAGAAATTATTTCGTGTGTGATAAGAAGATCATGATAACGGATGATCATATTCTGAATCTTCTTTAAGGTTAAATGAGTAGTTTGGTCCTTCTAGTTAAAGTGTTACAAATGATTTAATTTATGATAACTCATTAGTTTATATTTTTGGGTTTAGTGGTTATTTAACGCTCGTAAAGATAAGGTTTTGAACTTAAATTACATTTTGAAAATTTCAAGACTCATTCTTATTAAAAGTTCGAGAATTTATTAGACAATTTTAGGGTGTGTTTGAGAGTGATGGTAGAAAGAGGAATTTAAAAAAAAAACAGATTTATTACTATTATTATTTTTTAGTACAGTACGTGGGTGAGGATTAAATTCACAACCTTTTGATTTGAAATGATATATACTAATTACTGTTGAGCTGTATTTGCTTTGGCTTATTAAAATCAAAATTTTTTGTTGTAGAGAAGAGATTTTAATAATGACCAGATTTTAACAATGGTAAAAGTGATTTTGAACCTGCTAAAATCGCACCCTTAAAATTTAAGGATTTGTTAAATACTTTTGGATTAAATTTATTAGAAAATATCTTTTTTATTATTTAAAATACAGAAAGTGGGACAAAATGATGTAAATAACCCTGCACACATCTTCAAGCTCCTAGTTAGATTTGTGTTTGTTTATCATTTTTAATTGTACTTTTTTTTTTCCTTTAACCAACTAACCATTGAGTTTCACTCATTCGAACAAGTAAATGCAATTAAACTATTTCCCTTTCGGCATATAATTAATAGATTAATTAATTTCATTATGCATCAAAGATTAAAGATATTGGATTTCCATTCATCTTATGATGTTCACTCGTGCTATGTACAGAGAACTCACTTATGCCATATGACGTCAGAGGATGCGGTGGAGGAAGAATCTATATTGTTTTTTTGTTTCTCATTTCTTATTTTTTAATAAATAGAAACATACCTGTATTTGGTGATTGTTCGTTGTTTTTCTTTCTTCTTTCTTTTGTTAAAAGAAGACATAGATAATCATTTTTAAATTTTAAATTAAAAAATTAAAATTTTTATATGAAAATTAAATTTTTAGTTAGATCCTAAAACTTTTTATCTTATATTTATTAGACATTTTATAAGTAAAAAATGATAAACTAATGTTTTAGGAAAGAAGAAACAATAATAATTATCAAATGCTTATGTTTGTCAAAAGTTAGAATCGAGAAACAAGAAACAATTTATGAAGATGTTACCAAGCAAGTCCTATATATATTTTTTCTTTTTTTTTTAGTACATTTAGGATAAATTCACTCTCTCCTCTAGTATATTCTAGAGTAAATTCACTTTTTTCTAACAGATGACCATCAAAATTCTAAAGGGATAGAAAGCCCCACATCAATTAAGACCAGAAAAGAAATAACAATATCAAACCTTGCCACTCCTAGAAAATGACCCTTGTACCCCTTTGGAGTTATCTGAAATCAAATAACCAGACCATTTTAACCACTCCAATTATAGCAAAAGAAATTAAATAGCCATTAGATTCATGAAAGTCACAAGCAAACATGGGAATTGAAAACTCAAAATAAGCAGAAATGGTAGTGTTAATTTTGCTGTTCATGTCTCCAAAAAGCTCAGCAGCTAATAGCTTTAAACATGGGGGTTGCTTCTGAATGAGCCAAGGGCTTTTACAGCTCCTGCCCTCAAGATGAATTGGTGGTAGAAAGCTGCAATGGCTGCCCCTATGAAGGGTCCAACCCAAAATATCCACTGCAAAACAAAAAGCAAACACCACGAAAACATCATACGAAATAAAGAATTTCAAATGTAGTTTCAGTGATATCTGCAATTTCGATGTATTGATCAGAAATTTGAGTCATCATCGTTGACGTTCATGTTTGCTCTCTTTGAAAACAAAAAGATGTTGCAATCATCACGTTGTAAATTATTCATAAACTAACGTTATGGTTTTTCTCTCTTTGAAATGTCGAAAATTTAAAACTTTGAGTGTAAGAGATGAGGGCTAACATGGTCATTCCAAGTCTTTTGGTCATTGAGAATAACAGCAGATCCCAAGCTTCTTGCTGGGTTGATGCCAGTGCCAGTGATTGGAATGGTGGCCAAATGAACCATCAACACTGCAAACCCAATTGGAAGTGGAGCCAAAACCTACAACCAAATAAACATATGTATGAATCATTAGTCTAAAAAAAGATGGGTTGAATTACAAATTTGGTTTCTAGAGTTGTTTTTATAATTTTAAAAGTTTCGATCTAGTCTCTAATTGGTTTATCTATAAATTACACTGGTAAAAACTCTACTTATTTCGTTTTATTTTAGTCGTAATTCCAAAATTTAACTAACACAATTGGTTGAATGAAAAACATCTTCTCGTTATCACGTAAAAAAAAGTGTCAATTTGGTTACCGTAAAGGATCGGTGAGATTTAACTAAATCATAGAGGCTAAATTAAAATCTTAAAACTACAGAGACTCCACTCAAACTACAAAGATTAAATTGAAACTTTTAAAATCACGGGAAACAAATTGAAGTTATGTTCATACCATAGGAACCTAATTTACAATTTAAACAAATATTTTATTATGAACCCAAAATTTCACACAACTAATGAAAATAGAAGAGAAAAAAAAATCATGTTTTTCAAATTAAGGAAGTTATGAACAAAAGCTTTGCATGTGAAACAGAATAAACCAAAGTTAGTAACTTTTATATAAGAAGTCAAGGTGACCAAAAAGATAGAGGGAAATTTTATTTTTTTCTCTCATAAAAGTAAAGTTCTGAAATAAGAATCTAGAGGTTTAGAAGTTGGTGCCTAACACATGAGCCCACTTTCACTTTGTAATTCTTTCAATAAAAAGGAAAACTAAGAGACCATTAAAAGAAGAAAATAAATGCCATCTTTTTGTGACCATTTACAACTCTTGGAAGACCATTATGAAATGTGTATATATATATATACTAATATTCTTTTTTTTTCCAAAGTTTGTAAAACAAATATGATATATCTATACTAAATTAGCATTGTACTTAACTTATTCATGAAATTTTTTTTTTATCAAACTATGCCACAACTAAATTTGATTGGTCTAGTCTAAGAAGTTTTAATTTAATCTAATTTCACAAATCATCCGTATCATTACCTCATTACATTACCATATTTAGTACGTAAAATATTTTATTAGTGGTGCGATGAGTTAATTTTTTCTGTTTTACTAGATTGATTAGGCTAATGGAGTATGTTAAGGTTTAGAATTAAGCAAAAAATTGCAAATATGAGCTACAGTAATTGGCACTTGTATTTGATCGAGAAGTCATGAGTTTGAATTTCCACCGTCACTTTTTGTACTTATTATGAAAAGGTAAAAAAAAAAGACTAAGTAAAAAAATAAAAGAAAATTGATAGGTTTTTTTTGTGGGTAAAAAAAATTGAAAATTTATTCGTCAAGTTTAAGTAAAACATAAAGATTAAATTGAAGCTAGGCTGAGACATTCAAAATTATAAGGATTAATAAATTGAAATTAAGCTCGATTTAAGATCAAATTCATAATTTAACATAAAATTGAGAAATTTTTTTAATATGCATACCGGAACATGGGAATCTCTGGCGTTTCTTTTGGGATCGGTGGCAGAGAACACGGTGTACACCAACACGAATGTACCCACGATCTCCGCCGCCAATCCGACGCCGGTGGTGTAGCCGTCGGCGAGCCCATTGGCCCCGCCGCCGTACTTCTGGAAGTGGGCCTTCTGGAAGGCCTTGACGAGCCCAACTCCGCTAATGGCCCCTAAGCATTGGGCCACCATGTACATAACGGCCCGCACCAGTGACACCTTACGGGCCAACAGCAGTCCAAATGTCACTGCTGGGTTTATGTGACCCCCTGCAAATAAACTCAAAAGTTGGTTTTCCTTTTCTTTTTCTTTTTTTTCTCTTCTTCTTTTTATTTTTCTTTTGAACAAGCTCAAAAGTTGAATTTTAGATACACATTGAGGTAAATCAATGTTTTTACTTTTAAATAATATTTATTTACTAGTTTTTATGGCAATTGTCTCGTAGTATAAAAATTAAAATTTAAGAATATTATATATATATATACATTAAATTTTTATAGGAATGGAAGAAATTTTATTACCTAAATTTTCAAGAGGGAAAAATTAGAGAGAAAATTTTAAAATCTTACTTTTAGCATGAAATAAACTAGAGGCAATTCCCTCCATTTTTACTCCATCTTACATTTGACTAATAAATTAAACTTAGGTCAACACTAAATAAATATTTAATAAGCACATGAATTCTTTTTTTTTTTTTTAAGTTTGAGCGCCAAATCGAGTAAAATAATAAATTATAAGATAAAAACACATATCCGTTGTGTTTGGCAGCTGAGAAAATGAAAGAAAACGAAAGAAAATACATTACGTGGGAAAAAGAAAAACAAGTTCAACTTTAAGCTGAAGCAACGCAGAAGAAAGACGAACCTGAAATCCCAGCAGTGCAGTAAACGAGAACGAAGATCATTCCTCCGAAAGCCCAAGCAATGCCGAGAATCCCCACTCCACCACATGGATCCACATTCTTGTTTGCGGTATGATCGGTCTGCGATTTGTAGCCGATTACAGTCAACACGGTGATGTAGAGGAACAGCATTGTGGCTATGAACTCCGCAATCAGAGCTCTGTAGAACGACCACTTCGTGATCTCCACGGCGTCGATCAGCGGCGCCGGAGGCGGATCGTGATAGTCCTTGCCCGAGAACGACCCACGCTCCGCCGCATTTTTGGCCATGAAGAGATAAATCGAGAAATCGAAATCGAAACCGAAACCCTAGGCGAGAGAAAAAGAAATTTCCGGCGAGGGACTGAGAATGAGCGCGGTTTGAAATCGGAAGGCGAATAGCGGCATTTAATGAGAGGAGATTGGAAGGGAAGAGAAGAGGAGCAGTGATATTCAGCTTCTCCGGCTGAGTTGGGCAGGCCATCGCCCACCCACTTGCCATTGCTCTGCTCCGTACCTTGTCCTTCTGACCCACTCAGAACAGTGGCTTCACTGTGCATTCCACTTACTACAGTAACGACAAATTCCTTTTTATGCTTTCAAATAAATAATCAATCTGAATCTATGGCTTCCCCTCTGTATGTATTTTCACAGTTTAATACAAGGACGTAGCTTAGAAGTGATAGCATCTGCAATTGCATCTTTACTCTTACGGCCATTGCCATGTCTGAAACTGGAAGATAAAATCATGGATATCATATCATTAATCTTACCTTCAAAGCTTGAAACATTTAATTAGTTAAACGTTTCCCTTCAATGGCTCTTGTGCGTTTCATGTTTCTGTAGCTGGAGAATTTGTATATATAGCATAAGAAATGGTGGTCCAAAAGCGTGGACTTGTGGGTTTCTCAGTGAGAAGTCAAAACAATGGGTGCGAGTTTAAAACTAGTTTTTCTGATTGCAGTTTTTATCTCCTCTGTTGAGATTACAGTTTCCACCTCTCTTGAAGGTGATGGGGATAATCAGAAATTTACTGAGGATCATTTCACGTATTCAGACATGAGTCATGGGTAACTATTACTCTTGTCTCCTCACCTCCATTGTTAAATCCTCCATTGTTACTCTTGTCTCCTCACCTCAATTCTTCATCTTGTATCGGATTTGATGCATGTGGCCTAAAATATCGTCTACTTTCGTCTTTAAGGGGGAGCCTAGTTGACAAAGGCTTGGGTTTCTTGGTCTTACTGATTTAGAGGTCTCGAGTTCGAACCTTCTAGTGAGCTTAATATCAAAAACTCCTAATGTCTCTCAAGTCTAAATCTTGGGACGAGCACGAGTGCCCCTAGATATAAGAAAACAAAGCTCTGACTCCCAATTACCAAGATATATACTTATACAATCTACTTTCATGGCAAATATCAAAACATATTTTTATACAGAATTTTGGGATTGAAATAGTATGAAAGTTAGCCCCAAAATAAGATTTAAACGTAGATTTTTTTGGTTGATCAATATAGGTTGGATCAAGTGGTTCAAAAGGAAGATGATACATGGAGTATGGTGGAGACAAAACAGAACCAATTTGTAGTAGACGGCCAACCGTTCTATGTTAATGGTTTCAACACTTACTGGTTGATGGTATTTGCAGCGGATCAATCCACAAGAGGAAAGGTCACAGAGGTTTTTAAACAAGCTTCTTCTGTGGGTTTAACTGTTTGCAGGACTTGGGCCTTCAATGATGGCCAGTGGAGAGCTCTTCAAAAGTCTCCTTCTGTCTATGATGAAGAAGTCTTCAAGGTACTCATCGGCTATTCATTAGGATTATTTACAGAAACAGCTTCCCATTTTTAAGAACAATAGTAACATCTACAAACCATCCAATCGTAGTTCTTAAAGGTCATTTTGGAAACAAAAATAGAAAATTGTATTCCAACGTATCTACTCATGTAACCATGGTGGCCACTTACTAAGATTTAATATCCTACGAGTTTCCTTATCAACCAAATGTAGTAGGATTAGGCGATTGGTCCGTGATTAATCGAGGTGCGCGCAAGCTAGTCTGAACACACAGATATCAACAAAAAAAGAGGAAAAATATATATATTCACTCATGTTTACTTCTTTGACAAAATTATTGTCGTGCGGTGCATCAGAGATCTATTATCATAATTCCTATTTCATCCATATGTAACTGCCCCTTCTTTTATGAATTGCAGGGATTAGATTTTGTGATTAGTGAGGCCAAGAAGTTTAAGATAAGGCTGATATTATCACTGTCAAACAATTGGGAAGCATATGGTGGCAAAGCACAATATATAAAATGGGGGAGAGCTGCTGGCCTCAATTTGACATCTGATGATGATTTCTTCTCTGATCCAACTCTGAGAAGCTATTACAAGGCTCATGTTAAGGTGAGTTCCAAACGTATATTACTCTGCTTAACATGTTAACTAAATTGAATACAAAATAACCTGAAAATGATATTTGTTGATTTTCATGTGAATGGTATAGACTGTGCTTAACAGAGTGAACACATTCACAAATGTAACGTACAAGGAGGATCCGACCATTTTTGGCTGGGAATTGATGAACGAACCTCGTTGCACATCAGATCCTTCTGGCGATAAGCTGCAGGTTTGTTGTTCTTTTAAGAGGAATTGTATTAGCCCCATAGTTCACAATTCATATCATGAAAAGAAAGATATGTGATTGTGGTGCAACTGAGCAACCAACTTTGTAATTCGAAGCTGTTGAATTGAATGGCATTGGCAGGGATGGATTCAAGAAATGGCTGTGTATGTGAAGAGCATTGATCCAAAGCACTTGGTGGAGGTTGGTTTGGAGGGATTCTATGGCCCATCCACACCCAATAGAGTTCAGTTCAATCCAAATACATATGCCCAACAAGTTGGAACTGATTTCATCAGAAACCATAAGGTTCTTGGTGTTGACTTTGCTTCAGTTCACATTTATGCAGATACATGGTAGGTTCCCAAAACAACATTAGGACCTGAATACTAGAATCTGTTCTTTTCTCATGATATACCTTTGATGATTCTAAACAAGAGTTCATTGTCAAAGGGTTTCTCCGACGATCTCGGACACCCATCTCCAGTTCACAAAATCATGGATGGAGGCTCACATAGAGGATGCAGAGAAGTACCTGGGAATGCCAGTCATTTTTGCCGAGTTCGGTGTATCGTCGAAAGATCCTGGATACAACTCAACTTTCAGGGATGCAGCTCTGAACTTGGTGTACAAGACCCTGTTGGACTCAACAAAGAAAGGAGGGAGTGGGGGAGGAAGCCTACTGTGGCAGCTGTTCCCTGAAGGCACTGAGTACATGGATGATGGTTATGCAATTGTGCTCTCTAAATCTCCTTCAACTTCAAACATCATATCCCTGCAATCTACAAGGTTGTCCATCTTCAACTCCATTTGTTCCATGAAATGTCGTTGGGGCTGTAAGAAGAAAAATGTTATGGATCTCGACTTTCTCGACCACCATGATCATGATGAGATGTAAACAAACTTAGTCGAGGATATGGGTATCCGATCCTTATGGACTGATCGGAAGGGTTCATATGAATTACATGTATCATAAATAAGAATTTTATTGATTGTATGAGCTTGCTTTTAATCAACTTCATTATATTTTTAGTATAATTTTCAAAATAACCTTTTTTTTTTAGTACAATCAAAATAACCTATATGATCCTTACAAATGTTGGGAATTATGAAGAAAAAGTGAATTATTATTACTATCATGGAATCAAAATTGAGGGTTTGAAATTTGTGGGCACCAAAATTTGAGCAGCAGAAGCACGTGTAAGGTAATAGAGAGAAAATTCCCAATTCCTTTTGACTTCTGAAGCAGCATGTGGAAAGCTGTTGATACGAATTTTAAGTTTTTTATTTTTCTGGTATTTTGGTATTTTAAGTTGGACTGTGACAGACCAACCATCACCGCTGGTTAATTTAAACATGCAATGGTCAACCAGTAGAATAAAAACACGATAAAAGAAAGGGCCAAACGGTGGTGAGCTTCCGGGCGTCACCGACTTTACGGCGGCAAAGTTTTACTTTCGGCTCAAGTCCGGAATAGTATTAATCACGCGTCTGGAATGGATGGGAGGGGAAGGGTAATATTTGAGAGCCTTTTTTTAATAAATACTTTTCAAATAATCTCACTCATCCTTACTTCTGCATTTAAAAAAAAAAAAACCCACTTTTTATTTTATAGGAGTATTTCTAAAACAGTTTATATTTTTATTCTTATAGAAAAAAATTAAGATTAAAGCTCATTTTTGTTTATATCATTGCTGAAATTCGATCATTAGTTCAATCATTCACTTTATGCTCTTTTGTTTGGTATAAACGAGCAAGAAACCGAGTGGCACATGGTATGGCTACTATTGCATCTAGAGAAGAAGAAAAGATGATTCTCATGGACGAAGTCCTAGATGCTCTAGAGCAAGAGTTGGAATTGGTTACAACCATTTTGTCCATTTATTTTAATTTGTCTTTTGTTTTCTTTGTAAATTAAGAAAAAAAGGGAAAAAAGAACTCATTAGTCCAATACTTACTTTAATCAACTCATGTAGCATGGTAATACATATACTCGAAAGTTCCGATATTAGGTAAGAACTAAAATGATTGTCTTTTCAAAGTTCACCAACAACATAGACATTCTAAAAACTAAGGAATCGATCAATGAAATAAACTTTTTACTAGACTCCATGAAATAAATTTCTTCATTATGTTCCTTTTTTAACTTATTTAAAACCCAATTGAATAATATGTTAGTGAAAAAAGAAACCATATAAATAGAAAGCATAACTAACAAAATGTGAGTGAACCAAGAAAGAAATGGGTAGGGGCCAGCCAGCAAGAAGTGGGAAGAGCAGAAGCAATAGCATGTCTTCTAAATGATAAAAAATAGTGCTCACCCCACAAGAGTACCAAACCAAATTGCTAAATCTAAAGTAAACACCAAATTCCAAGACATTTCCACATCAATGTTCTCTGTACAGAAAATGCATATGCCATAAACATGGAAAAACTCCAAAAAACCCACACCTGTCAATGCAATCAAGCTGGCAAACTAGATCAAAATAGTCCTTTTTCTACCTCTCCCCACAAGAACACCAAATTGATGCAACTCAAATAATGTGGTCGTCTGTCCACTGGCATTTCCACATCAATATTTTCTTATACACTACACAAAAGGCTATTACTATTTTTTTTTCTTTTTCTTTTCTTTTTTGCTATTACTATTGGTTACTAAATGTGTGGAATATCTATATGGTTCCTAAGCATGTGCCAACTAAGAAAAAAGGGTCTTTAGGACTTATAGAAGACTTAAGAAAAGGCTTTTTCCATGGACTGTAAGATCGAGGCAGTATCAAACTTGAAGTTTCTGAAGCTCCTGCCTGGACCAGTGTCCAGGGTGAGAACATTCACTTCGGGTTTACTTACTTGGCTCTCTGTTGTGACCGTGGTGCTGCTACCTATCGAGCTGTTCTTAGCCTTCCATATGGTAAGTCCTTGAAAATAAGAACAGACCACATTGACGTAATTCAGAAAGGCATATTGGCAGATTTGTATGATAAAATCTAGGGGGGAAGTTTGTGTAATTGAATGAATGTAAGAGTTGTTAGATTATGCCTTGGTATTTGGATGGCCTATAACTTGATTTGAAAAACAGGATCTATTTTTAGCAATTAGAAGCAAACTCGTACGTACTAATAAAAAAGAAAGAAAGAAAAAAGAAGCAAACTCATTTGATAATATTTGCAAAATATCATAATCTATAAGTAGATGGAGAAAAGAAAACCTCTTATGGGCACATCGGAGTTTCGAGCTACAGGGGACTGATGTGTTGAAATCCACGACCTCAGAGATCTGCATGAAGATGCTGACCGCTTAAAACATCTAAATTCGTTAAAGCATGTGCAATAAATCATTAAGAATATACGGATACTCACGCCAAAAAAGGAGCAACCATATAAAGCTTGAGACCGTTCATCCCACGAGATATTACACTATCACTAGCTGGTTCAAGATCATCAAGTCGATGCCATGCAATTTCCTGTTTACAAATAATTAAGTGCATGCTTTCAAGTTTCAACTACAAAAAGAGATTCCATAGAAGGCATATCACTAATAAACAAGGAAAACGTCCCCCATACGAAAAATTGAATATTATTAATATATACCCCACTAAAAAAGTTTCAAACGCAATACTATTTTAATAAAAAGTCCTTAGGATTTGGGATCTCTCGATTCCCTTTTTCCTTCCAAAAATTTGCCAAACCCATGTTCTCTAAGTTCAAAACTACAAGTTGCCACCTACCTTTTACTTTCATCAGTTTTCCAATTATTAAGCCCAAAAAGCCTGACATGGCTAATATCTTCTTATTACTTTCAACCTAAAGCTATTATATCTCAAAGTTTGAATAGCTTTAAAAATACTGTCTCTATATATATTGAATTTTATATCACAAATATGAGGGGAAGTTCAAACTTATGACCTATCTCGAAAAAGCCATAGCCAACCTCTTTATTTATGTTCGTACTTCGTATACCTTTGTTTCAATGTGGGACCGCAAATAAAATAAAATGATGCCCTATACCAACTCACCAACAACTCTTTTAAGGGAGGTAGAGATTCTTTAACCACCGAGCAATGGGTCAGCAACTTGGGTATTAAAATATGTTACATATTATAAATGCTTGAATTTTACAACAAAATAATGGCTCTCAAAAAACCTGATGAAAGCCAACGAATGCATAGACTAAACTAGAGATTCATCAGCGTATTTTCCAGTAAAATCAAGGTTACATGGTACAAACGTACAATATGGCATAAAATGTAACCTTGTACAGACGTACAATATGGCATAAAATGAATGCAACATTAAGAAATGGAAACTTTTATCAACTAACTAGAACATTGATGCCTTTTTTCTATGCGAAGAATATCGGTATTTCTGAAATAGTGATTACTATGTAGATCAATACTAAAACTCCAAGAAACATAGTGTGAGGTAAGAAAAACACATACACTGATTTCTTTCTTGGTTTGCGGGGCAAAGGCAAAATCATCTTTTACACCGGCAATGATGTAAAGCCGCACCCTTTGCTGTCCAAATATAACCTCTATATATTCAGATTTGTTGAGAAGATTTGTAACATCAAATCCCGCTTCTTCCAGGACCTACATTCACAAGGGAGATCTCGTATTTATAGGTGACACGACAAGCAATTAAATCACTTCAACAGGTGCTCAGTGTTCAAAAAAGTTCCCAGTAATAAAGAAACTTTTTACCATATAAGTAGAAATTATTGAACCAAGATTCAGTCTTTCTTGGCCAGATCCTACGGACAGAGAATGGAATAACATCTGACTACTTCTAATTCATTAAACTTCAAGTGAGTTTTGCAGTTACCATCCAAGTGGTCTTTAGATGAGAAAGATGAAAATGCAATGGAACTTTTCAAAAATAATCAAGATTACTTCTCTAATGGCACAAGCATGGTCTTCCTCATCTTTGCTCTTTTTACCACGTGGAAAACTCCAACTAGATCCTTTCCATCCCTTCACCAACAAGCACTGTAGTTTGCCAATAAGAAGCAAAAGGGAACATTGTCGGCATCCTTTACATCAATTATGTGGGGAAAAACAGCATAGATAATTTTCAGTGTGCTAAGCTTCATTAACAAGAGCTCACCCGTTCAAAGGTCTCATCCAGTATGATTGCCCCGGTTACAGGAACTCGAACCTTGTATGAAGTGAAGTCTTTAAAGATGTCATCAATATGGGCAACATATGGCTTTAAAACATCGCAGCTTTTAAACACTGATTAATAATAAGGGGAAACAGAAATGTAAAGACAACAATAGGCACGCTAATCTGGAGTCTGGACTAAGATGAGCTAAACAAAGTATACCACTAAGTATTGATCATAATTTGAAAGAGAGAGATACAGAGAGAAACGACTCCCACTATTATTTTCCATAATTTATTTGTAGCATAACTGTGCAGGATACATAATGAAGTGAACTCCTTCAGATTTAATGACTTTAAAGATGGATTTCTTTCCACCGAATTGTCTTCATAAAACCAATGTGCATACTCTATGAGAAATAAAATCCTCTCAAATGACTGTAGGTCTTCCTTCGGCACATTCAAAACAAACCGACTGCAGAAAATCAATACAAAATATTGAAGCAAATAAAGGAAGAGGAAAAGTGATTTATAGTTACATCAAGCAGGTTAAAAAATAAGGAAACTAACTGAGAATGAAATGAAGATCCATCAAGATCAAATCTCATACAAAGACTAAGAAAATTAGTTACCTAAAAGAAATTCCTATGTTTCCGTTCTTAACTATGTGAGATGTTTCTTATTAATCAGTTCCAGAAACTTTATTCCAATACTAAGATCCACCACGGTATTAGGCAAATAGAGCTCGTTTCATTTTGCACAATCCTTCATCATGCTCATGCATCTTACAAGACGTCTTCCCTATTCAACATCTGACAACATCATCGCTCATCAGTATCCATCATCACAATAACTTTCCCTTATATTGCATTGTAAAACACAATGTTGCTTCCAGCATACAATAATCGAACCGCCCGTTCAGATATGTATCAACAAACTCCTCTTAACAAAGTTATGGACTAACCATACTCTCCTAAAAATAAATCATTCAACACCGAACATGTTTAAGCTAAGTTTTCGAACAGAAACAAATGTACACGCATGAAAAAAAAATCCTGGAGCCAATCAACTATTTTCCTTTTCATAAACCACATTTCTATTCAAAATTCAACTTCCTACGCTTCAGCGCCGTTTTTTAAGGAGAATTTCTAGCAAGTAAAACTACAACAAACGAGAAGAATTCAGTTACAATCGAACAAACATTCTCAATCGTGCGGCAGCACATAAATTCATACGATGTAAAAAGACAAGTCACAGTCGAACGATCGGTCATGTAAACCAAACCTCCTCCGAAGTCGAAACTGGAGAATGTCATGCTCAGAGCACAGTTTCGAGAAGTTCGACAACAAGAACAAATCGCAAAACTGGAGAGAGTTAAGTAAAACTAGAAGAACTGACCTGCAAAGATCGTCGAGGAGTTCCTGCGGAGGGAGGCCGCTTTTGACCGGAGCACTGGAGGAGGACTGGTGGAGGCCGGCCATGGACTTCCGAACTTGAATCGACGAGAACGAGATGCAATCTACCAGCTCGTCTTCGTCGACCCTGAAAGAAAGAGCTCCGAAACTGGATTCGGTGATTCGCCCAACAGCTCACGGGAAGTAGCTGCGAAACGATAAGCCAGTGTAGTCAATGAGTCACTGCCATTCGGTCCGGTTCATGAAACCCGACCCGATCCAACCAAACATATAGTGCGACAATTTTTTTTTTATGCCCTCTCATCGCAAATACGTATCTTAATTCTTAACCAGTTGAGTCAATTGGCACTGTGAAATTTGTCTAAATCTTATTTTGATTTAGATAATCTCAAACAATTGTAGCGCGCAAAATTGGAAAGATGATGAGAAAATTCCATAATAATAATGTGTATTATAATCGATCTTACAAAATGAATCAAAGTTGTTGGGGATGGAACAAAGGTGTTGTGTGGCCCACCAATGACAATGGTCATCGAGGTAGGAGGTTTTTTAATATGCTTTATGATCACTTGGTTGACTTAACAAGTTATCACATACTACCCGACTTACTTATTTGGAAAATTATTTAAGTCATGATGATGCAAACTCATGTCAAACACAATGTGCATCATCAATTTATTATTCTCAATGATTAGAGATCGAAACAACTTTATAAGAAAATTTAGAGACTAATATAAACGTTTAAAACGTACCGTGACAAAAAAAAAATGTTGGAACTAGAATGAAATTTCAGTCTATAAAATAATGTAACGCCAGATGGTGCTTATCAAATGGATGTTTAAAATTTTCGTTTACACAAATTGCATGAGATAAATGTCTTTTCAAATATAATAGAAAGTTCGATATTTAAAATATAGTACAATTCAAATTAAATCTAAATTCAAATATAGTAATAAAATGCAATTTAGAAAAACATAAATTTATACATACAAGAAAAAAAAGTGATAATACTTTTAAAATATATATTAAATTTATACCATAAACTTCTCTAAATAAAAATTTGAAGGTTAAAATGCTCATTTGGTCTCCGTACTTTTAACTTAATTCATTTTAATCTCTGTATTTTAAAAATATTTATTTTGGTCATTGTATTTTTAAAAATTATTCATTTTATTACATGTTTTTAATCTACCATTAATAGAATAACAGCTTGATGATGTAGTATTTTTTCTAAAATGAGTAAGAGTCTATGTAATATTTTTAATTTCTAAATAAGTTGCGTCAAGTCTAAAAATCGAGTCGGACCGATAATACAGAAACTAAGTAAGGCTCGTGGTAGTCATTTCCATCTCTCTCTCTCAGATTCCTGCTTCCCAATCTTAGCCACATACTTCATCTGCTACAACTATCTTGTTTTCTCTTTTATTCTCATCAATTTTATTTTAAAAAATTAATCGTAGAAGCTCAAATCCTAATCGTTCCTGATTCTAACCAAAGCTCTTCTCCCCTTCGACTAACGTCCTTTCAATTCTATCACGTCAACCTTCCATTCAAAATATTAACGGATATTTGTTCAAAATATATTTTGAAAATGTATATTGTAAATATATTAAAATTTTATGAAAAGTTAAAACGAATATAGTTTAGTGGTAATCGACATATATGAGTTAATTAATAATTTATGATAATTTAAAATGCAATATTGGAAAATTGATATTTATGAGGAGTATCTAATTAAGCAATTCTGATTTTTGTAGCCAATCCAAGCTTAGGCAAGGCACCTGTTAGTTGAGCTTCGGACCGTCAGACGTGCCTCTGAGAGGGCCTCTCGTCGGATTAGATCACATCGCGACCAACGAACACGATGTCAAGCCGAAGACGATGGCGACCACCACTGTCTCTTCAGACGTTGATTTCACTTGTGGCGGCTCCCTCCGATGCTAATTCTTCAGTCCACACACCCAAAAGAATCTCCAATTCCTGAGGAACACAGAAGAGCTCGACGAAATGCGGGCCATTTCCTTGGCGCTCTCAGTCTCATCGACTTCTTCTTCTCACTCCACCGCTTCCCTCACGCCATCTTCTTCCAGAAACTTCACTCACAACAGATCTTGCTTTGCTCATGGCGTCTCTTTACTTCCTCTCCCCAAATTGGACTCAGGTGGGTGTCTTGTTTCTGCTTAAACATCCCATTTACTTGTGTTATTTCTTAGATTCTTACAATGATTGATCCCATTTCGAATTTGGCTGCTGCGATTGGGAGTTTTATGATGTTGGGTTTCGATTATTTTGGCTGTATTTTCCTTTTTGGTAGGTGTTAATGCTGTTTTATTGTCGGTTTTCTAATCTAAGATGAACTAAGAAGCAGGTAATTGCCCCCTTTTCTTTCTTCGATCTGCCCTGCAGAAAATGGAATAAGAGAACATCGCTTTCATTCATAGAATGTGTCTACTCAAGCTCCACGATGTATTTGCTTCTACTTATGGTTGGTCGGGAAAAGTTAGGGGATAATGTAGAACTTCATTGTACAATGAATTGGTCATTTGGTTAGGCTATTGGATTTGGGTTCGATTCTTCTGTCCTTTCTTTTTTTCAGGTGCTGGAGTTTGTAAAGCTAGTCAAGTTTTTGACTTATTTCCAACTGTATCTCCTGAGGTAACGGTTCGAGAGGCAAGAATAGAGGACTGTTGGGAAGTTGCAGAGACTCATTGCAGCTCCTTCTTCCCGGGATACTCCTTCCCTTTGGATTTTGTGCTGAGGGTTGATAGGCTTGTAGCAATGTTATCTGGATTGTCTGTTCCAAATGGTTGCAGGAGGATTTGTTTGGTTGCTGTGATTGGTGGCTCAGTGAATGATGAATTCCTTATTGGACCTGAAGATTTTAAGATTGGGGGATTTGATGGCAAGGTTAGTCTCAACAAGGGCTATGTTGCTGGAATCTTGACCGTCGATACCGTCGCCGATTTCCTACCGAGAAAAGGACCGTTGCGGCAACGGAGGTGGGTAGTACTTAGTAGTACATCTACACTTTTTATAAACTTTCTTCTGCTCTTCTTCTGCTCTATGAAAAAGTATGTGGTTTTCCCTTTCTGATGATATACTTGTATCTACTATCTCCATGGCATTTGATTAGATAATTTTACTGAAAAAGCACTTTTCGTTGGACTAGGAGAACAATGTGCAGTAGTCTTATCTAGCCTTAGTAACTCAATGATATAGCTCAAGTTATTTCGTTGAAAAAATGAAGCTTCGTGCTTAGTTTTCAACTCCGATCACTGGCATTTGACATGACCAATCTAGTTAAGAGTTTCCGATATTTCTTTGGTTTTGTCCATTAATTGAAATGTAACAAGCAGTTGCTTGTTGCGTCTTTTGTGGCAGGACGGGGATTGCATACGTATCAAATGTAGCAGTTCGTGAGCGGTTCCGACGCAAGGGAATAGCCAAAAAGCTAATAGTTAAGGCAGAGACTGAAGCCAGGAACTGGGGGTGCCGGGCGATCGCATTGCATTGTGATACAAATAACCCAGGGGCTACAAAGCTGTACAGAGGTCAGGGTTACAAATGCATCAAAGTACCAGAAGGAGCAAACTGGCCTCAGCCAAAGACCTCTCCAGACATCAACTACAGCTTCATGATGAAGCTTCTGAAGAACCATCCTGCCCCAATTTAGAACTTCAGACGACATTTCAACCATTATTTAAAGATGAAAATGATGGAGGGAGCAAAAGAAACTATCATTTCTGAACAAAGCAGAAAAGGTAGGAGATTTTAGAACAGCTTGTATAGATGAGTAGAAGGAAAACAGAATTGGGTTAGCTTCTTGTATTGTATTGTATTGTATCATGGTGCTCATTGTTCCCTTTGTAAACATGTTGAAGAAAGTTTGTTTGTATGATTAATACCATCATGTGGAATTATTCTACGATCTTTTGATAAGTTCATAAATTTAGAAAATTCATGTATAATTTAAATGAAAGAACTAAAATATAGGTAGAAGAAACAGATTAAAATCTAAAAAAGGCTTACTTATATTGTAGCACACAGACAAACTGAGAATATGACAATGGAATGGCAGGAAAATGGAAGAATGGTTCTCACCAACAGGTATATCAATTCATAAAGTCAGAAATATCTGTGGTTCATGAGGGGAAAGGGAAACTCAAAAGTTTTGTGGAACCTATATTCTGATGCAAATCATGTTAACAAGGCCAAACTTTCAAGAGCTCTTAAGAACCTGAACTTGAATTATAGATGATGTGTACCGAGAAGCAGAAGCAATTTTCATGAAGGTTGACGTCTAATTTGAAAATACGGGGCTTGTATTGCTTGGGAACTTATTCAAACTTGAACGAATTTGTCCAGTGCAGATGTGTCCAAAGCAGGAAATTTCTTAGCAGCAGCTAGGACTGCAAGGCCGAGTTTTATGGCATCGTCATTGCTTGGCGCCTAGAACACGTGCAACATTCATAATTTGTTAGCTGCAAAGACATAATACCAGAATGGTAACAACATTCTCGACATGGAAAGTTTACCTCGATGTTAAGGGGAAGTACAGGATCATGCAGTGAGAGTCTCAAAAGAAACCATCCGCCAAATCCAGAAACTCGGATCTGTTTCAAGTGGCAAAGATGATTTATTGAACCTTGCTCAAACCATTTACATCTACAGGTATAAACTTTTTGCCTTACCTATCCTCTCCCCTGATGTCAAAACCAACTTACTATAGGGAAAATTGAGGACTGAAGCCGTGGAATTGTTATCAACAATGGAAAATTTTAAAATGATGACATCCAGCAAACAAATCCAAACTTACCCCTTCATAGTTAACAGGAGCTTTCAAAAACTTGGGATTAGAACCAACTGAATTCTCGACGTGTTTCAGCACTGCTTCTCCATAATCACGGAAGGGTCTGGAAGTGTTAGTTTATTAGTAATTTTGTGCAAAGACATCATCAAGAGAAAGAATGTTTCCTAAAACAAAATTATGTAGGCATACCCTCCTTGAAGGTCTGGATGGTTTTGATTTATTTTTAATCGCAATTCCACAGCAACACCAGGCTCTTGTAAACCTTGCACAAGATCAGTCAAAACTTGGCTTCCACCACCCAATCCTGAGGCTCTTGCTGATGCAAGTTTGTTCAAAATTTTTACCTGAGATTTATTCTTATATGGTTAAAGGAAACAATGAAGCTAAAGAGAGAAATTAAATTAGTACATGTAAGGCAATTATTATTGATTGGTAACATATAAAAAAATATAGGAAGAAAATTTGTGGGATGCGATGTCAATTACCCACCATGAGATATGCGCCATCATCAAGCCAATGGTTCTCCTTGAGAGCTCCATGACCACTGGTTTCAATAGCCAAATGTGACTCCTCGCCAACAGAGTTCTACAACATCAGTATTTAATTATTTCACTATAAAGGTTACTTTATGGGAGTACATTGCTTCTTTTATATATATGCATTCAAAAAAGGTGCAACATGGAACAGAAACTAGCATCTCTGGAAAAGAGAAACCAACTCTTAGCATGCAAGACAGGGATCGTGAGGGACAATGCTTTGGTTTAATTCCCTTGCTCCTTGTGCCAAATGGTCGGCTAACTGAGCGAGCTAAACCAATTGATGAAATCCTACTAGTACTATACAAATCAGAAGGTATAAGTCCTGAGTTGACTTGGTTCTTTATGATTAAAGCACTCATTCTTTCTTGGCTATTTCCTCGAGAACCTCATTTATTTCACAACCATGGTATTAGAATACAGTAGAACAATAAATCTTACCAAGCGGATAGCTTCATCAATGACATTTTTGTAGCCTCTTTTGAACCTGTGATGCTTTCCCCCTGAAGAGATGTCAAGTTAGAGAGAAATCTATAAGACTATAACCAAGTACAAATACAAATATTTCTGGGATCCTTCATACCAAGTTTCTTCTCTATAAACAAGGTTAGCCCATCAGAAGTCACACTATCTGTAACAATAGTTGTTCCAGGATGCTGGAGAGAAGAAAACAGGCCATAAATAAATTACTAAGTGAAATTAAAGGAAAACCATAGAGAACACTTTTTACAAATTAAAGACAGCAGCCCAAGAGCTCAAATACTAATACAACACCTCCTCAAGAACAATAGCAGACATTAAGGCAATTAGGCGATTCCGGTTAAACTCACGACCAGTAGAATCCACAGCAGCAGATCTGAATCAAAAGGATGTATCAAAACAATAAAGCATAGTCATAAAACAGTTCAATCATTACCTGTAAGCATCAGTATCAAAGACAATCCCTACAGCATTGATCTTTACCTGTCAACATCCGTATCAAAGATGATCCCTAAATCAGCTTTGTTGCGAAGGACAGCTTCAGTTATAGCTTTCATTGCTGTCTTGTCCTCAGGATTTGGGATATGGTTTGGAAATAAACCTGGCACAAAAACGATTTCTTTTTTAACTTTACCAGACTATTCTGAAAACTGAACCTAATCTTTGCCAAACCAAATATTACCATCTGGCTCCAAGAACTGACTACCAGACGTAATTGCACCAAGTGGTTCAAGCACCTTTGCCTGATAAGAGATTTGAATAAAGAACTCGTTAATATAGCATCTGTTCAATATATCTGCACATATTCATTGGGCCAGAGCAACTACCCTATGGTTGTAAGAACTTTAACAATGATTACAACAATAATTTGTCATGCTTGTTCTACATTGTTTAAAAGTATCAATTTTCTTATTTTCTATACGATGTGAAAACTCACCAACGATTTTTCATTTTTTTTATAGGCAACATAGAAAACCTTTCACTATAATCAACTAACAAATATAGAAGAACATTTGTTATTATACACATTCAATTCTTATATGGACTTAAAAATTAAAATTAACCAGGTTTGTGAAAATGTTACCACAAGCTCAAAGACGAAAGAATAAATTTTTTTGAAGGTCGTCTCAAACTACTGCCAGGAATAAATGACTAATTAAAAATTAGATGGTGTCTTCTTTTTTTTCTTTTTTTTTTTTTCAGGGGGTTGGGTGTGTTGAGAGTATTTACTGCGAAGAACCCTCCTGCTCCATTTCCAGCATCAACAACAATATGGAATCCTTCCAGGGGCTTTTCTGAGAATTAAGAAATTGACAGACATGAGCAAGTCGACCAAAACTTTAATCGTCGTATCCATTTCAGAACAATTAAAAGTTTAGATGATTGTACCTTTATTCCCTGCAGCTTTACGGACTGCCTTCACGAGATCAGATGCATAGACACTCATGTAATCAACCTGCTCTATGGTTGCAGAACCTCTTCCCTTATTTCCATCTGTACTATTCAGATTTCTATAGAAATCTGCAGCACGCTCCAGAATTTCTTTAATGTCAGCTTTGCCAAGCCCACCAGCATTTGTAAAAAATTTGAACCCATTCCTATTGAACGGCAAATGACTTGCTACAAAATAACAGTATTCGAGAATTCTGTAAGCACATATCACATTGATTAAAAAAATAATAACAGCATGAAAGTTTTGACCTATGGACTTCTTTTTGCAATTATTTTGTTTGGTCCCACTCATTAGTATGAAAGGTCAAAAGATTTCCCACCAAAATATATTCGAGGACATATGACAGAGATTATAGTAGTACTCAATGGTAGATAACCATTAGGCAGTAATATGGGTCGCAAAATTGGGGAAGAAATTCAAGAGTCATCCTTTCTCTCCTGCTTCTGCCAATTTGTATTCCCTATCCTACTCAAAGGCCAGAGGGGTTTATCATGAAACATGACTATTTTAGCATTCTGAATAGGATTTATCCTGTAACAAAAAATGGATCTGGTGAATCTGACATGGGGTTAAGTTGTTAAGACAAATTGCTCAAAACCCTCAAAATAAAAGAGTCTGAGAATAAATAGGTCATCACACTATCAGCGCAAAATAAGTTTTGAGATGGAGGTAGATTTTATTAGGATGGAAAAGGAGAGCCCGGAAGTTTGATTGGATTGAAGATAAAGAAAAGCCTAAATTTGGAGCGACCATTAGAAGATTAGGTAGGTTCAGTTCTGCATGAATCGAAGCCACAAAACCTGTCTAAAAACACTAGCTGTCTGGATATCTATCATCCATAAGTTTCCTTGAAATTCATTCTAAAATAAACCCAAAAATCAGAGACATTGGTTTAAATATAAAGAAAGATGGTTATCAGAAGCAGTTTAGATCGAGAAGGAAAACAAGAGGAGAAAAGATGACGAAGAGAGAAAAAACAGGAGAAAATTTTCTCACAATTTTCTTTAGTTTTGAGAACTTGAAAACTTGCTATATTACTTTCTCAATCTCAATCTTTTTCACCTTTCTAACTTCCTAGTATCCTCCTTCAGTTGTTCAGAGGATGGAATTATCCTCTGACAATCTGAGGGAAACATAGGATGACATGGTTGGTTAAGTCATTCATATACATATATATAAAATGTTGGGATGCCAGCTGTCTATTTGGAGAGACTTAATTTTTGGATATAAAGAACTTAGTAAGAGAAAATTAAAAAAATATTATGATAGTAGAATAATTATGAACAATACAATTCTTCTGTAGTGGTGCATGTCAAGCATGATCAAGACTTAGTTTATGCAACAACAAAAATTGCACGGTTAAATTATTTACAAAAATGCAAAGAGGTAGAGTAATAAAGAGTCGGAACTTCCAATCACATGCAACTTTGAATGCTTGATGTTTTATCTCAAGACATAATGAGAATGTGTAGTTTACCTGTTATCATAATGGATCCATCGGCAGGACAAAAAAGTGCTTCGTCTTCAGTAAGAGTGCTGTTAAACATAGCTGGTGTAGAAGCTAATCTATAATATAAGGAAAAATACCAAATATAAGTCACCCACATAGAGGATCATCAACGTCACAGTTACAAGGAGAAGAAGTATTAGTATTTGTACTCATCTAGTCAAGAGATAATGTCATTAGACTAAAAAATATAAAGACATTGGCTACCATAATACAAAATAGCAGAGGCATGATAATTACAATTTATAAGATTCACGTGGAATGCTTGCGTGTATATATGGTTCCATTTAATTTTTTCCCTCTTTTAAATTTTTTTCTCTCTCTCTCCTTTTTTTTTTTTTTTGGTTCTTCAGCACCGGTGGGTTGATTGGGCCCTTGTTGGCCCTTGTGGATTTTTGTTCTTTGGTTCCAATCAGAGAGAGAGAAATATAAATATACATATAATGGAACAAAAATATATCTCCAAAGTTAAGAGTCAACAATCTAAACATGATCCAAACAAGTAATAACAATAATATGAATTATCATCTTGAGAATACCACCCACCCGTATTGAATAACATTCAGGCCTGCACCAGCTATACCTTGAGAAATTGCATCCTGGGAGTTGATTGGGAAGTCAGAAATCAAAAAAACAACCACAAAGAGTCGATGGGGTTTGTCACTATCTGAACATCAAACTACGGTTGTACAAATTTAAGCAATAATCATAAAAAATGGAACATTAATAACAAGCTGATTTCCTACAGAAAAACAAGATCAAGTATTCGTAAGTTGGAACCAGGGAAGTTTTTGAATGTCCAAAGGTTAGTTGAATGAATTATAACTTCAACACATAATCATTAAATCCAACCATCAAGTGGAGGAGAAATACCTGTAACTTTTTAGCTGAAATTCGTGAATCATGTCCAATAGAAACTCTTAAACGTCGAGAACCATCAGCTTTCTTCTTTTCTAATAACCATGCAGCAAAGCCAGCTCCTATCGCTTCTGCAACTTGTTCAGTAAGATTCACAGGCTCCCCCTCAGCACCAGGAAGAGCAACACCTCGAATATCACTGCATGTTAAGCAACACACTGTAAGTTAGTAGCCAATAGACTCCAGCTACAGAATCTTGGGAAGAAGGATACTATATCAGATGATTTCTCCATATACGATGGAACATAGTAGGATATTCAGTGCTAAAAAGTCCTCCCAAGTCCTAACATTCGATGATGCACCAAAATTTCACATATTTGACTTAATGGCAAGATAATATCTCAGGTGTTGATAGAAAAGAAGAGCCACGAAAGTAGATGGTAGAACAGAAAGGGCGAAGGAAGGCAATTTTTATGTACCTTCCATTTTGAAGCTTCAGGAAATCAACATTATCAAGAGAAGAGATTGTAGATAGAGCGGCTGGAGCAAGATCATGAAAACAAGTATGGTTCAGATGGCAATGCTATAATAATTTTAAAAAATAAACAAAATGATATGAAGTAGCATTATACATAATCAAAGTCAAACAAATATTAATTGAATGATAAACAACCAAGCAGAAAACACAAGCAAACTTGATGCATGAGAGGGATCAAGAAAAAACAAATGTATCCTAAAGGATTTCTAGCATGGTGGTTTTACGCTTGATGTCAACCTGAATAGTGAGAGTCTAGAACAGACCATTGCAGTGAACAGGTCCTCGATTAATAAAATTTATCTGGTGTGTGGAAAAGGTGCGCAACTGCATGGATGAGATGCCAGTCCATGCAACCTTCCCTCCATCAAAGGGAAGCAATTTAAAAGGGGCAAAACAGTCCCTTCGGTATTGGTTGCTGAACTGCCTAGACTGGTGGTAGCACTGAGATACATTATTATTTTGGAAAACCTTCCCTGAAATTGCTGCATAAAAATTTGGAATTTATAGACTCAGTATTCATAAAATATTAATCCATAATGTTAACGTCACGTTATTCTCGAAGGGTCAGCTTCGGGCTATCAATGATTTTAGGCAACAAACACATAGGAAACTTTATCTTAATTAGTTTGGCACCTCTACGGTGTATATTGTGAATAATCAGCTACTGAAACAACTGAAAATTTTATAATAACTGGTTATATATAAATTAACTAGTTTCTAGCCAATACTATTGAAACATGATTTGGGAATGCAGTGAAACTCCGAGAGTCCTTTTCCTGAATTTATGGTAGCATTTTCTATATTAAATTCTTCATTTGGTTTTGGAAGAAACTCGACATCAACTGGTTTAAGAAATATGGAGCGATGCAGAATCTAAAGCAGCTATTTGAGCAAAACTATAGGCTGAAGCTTGATTGGTCATGACACTTGTAACCTGATAAATACATTTAAGAGCATCTCCCTCCAAGAATGATTGTTAAGAAAGCTAATATACCCAAAAATCCCGAAGATTCAATTTGAACTATAAAGCCCCTGCTCAGTCACTTCTTCCTGAAGCTCACTTCTATTCTATACTCCTTCCAAATTTCAAAAGCTTCAGCGTTTCAACGAAAACGTTACAGAACAACTAATATCTAGCTGATTCAATTACCATCGATTGCATACCAGCTGAACCCCATCAGACGGAAATAAACTTCACTACATAACGAAATGAGACGATTATACCAATTTCAGATTGAGCAACAAAAGAAGAATGTGAAAATAGGAAATTCAATTTCGAATGTGTACTAAACTATTAGAGGGATTGCATTGAAATGGATTCTACCTGCCATTGAAAGAGCAGAGACTTGATTATCCTCGAAGAAAGAAAATTGAGCGAGAGAAAACGAGCTACTCGGCAGTCGGAGATTGCTAGGATTCCGCCTTTCTTCTGCTGTTCTGTTCTTGCGTGGCGTTAAATTAATAAATATTTGTTGTTAAATTGTTTTGGTTGGCACTCAGGCAGAAATTTACCTGATTTTTGTTTTTTCAGAATATTGGAGTTAAAAAATATCTCAAATCTCAAATTTTCTTTTAAAAATTTCCATAAATAACATAAAATAAATATTAATTTTTAAGTATAATAGAAAATTTAAAATTCTCGTGGAAAATACGTCAAAAATTTTCTGTTTTATGCTATACTTTGAAATAAATGAAAAGTAGTATAAATAAAATACACATCAAATTTATGGAGTTAAATTTTCCTGATGATAGTCATGAGAAAAAGTTATCTTGCCATCAAATTTTCTATAAATCTATAATAAAGTTGTATTTATATCGGTAAGAATTTCGACTCAACCCCCATAAAATATAACAATAAAGAAATAAATATTTAATTACTATTTTAGTTGACCACTTGCTATATTTTTACCTTATATTTTTAAATATCCACAGATATCTTATACTTCTAAAAATGATAATTTTGATTTTTGATTTTTATATTTATATCATTTTTTGGATACCATATTTTACTCACTAAAATTATTGAAATAACCATAAGATTATATCAAAAAAAGTTTAGACCCAATTGATTAATTTTTAAAAGTATAATAATTAAAATAGATCTTTTGTTTTCTAGTATAATACATGGATGTACAAATCCAAACTCATGATTTATGAGTTGAAATCGAGGTTACATTAGCTAAATAGTTGTTTTGAAAATATAAAAATGGAAGTAAAAAATAGAGGAAACTACCAAAATAGTATTTTTACCATAAATAATAAAAAAGAGGAAAATTCGACCGAACAATCAAGGGCATTTGGAAGATTTCACATGCCACTAACGAAGGAGAGTCTGATACGACATCGTACCAATATTATACAATTATGCGACGACCCAGTCAACGCTATTGACCCAAATTTCCACTAAGGCGGTGGAAAATATATTATAAAACATCAGCGAGCGCAAAAAAGCATTCTTTGAATCTTGATTTTGGCATTTCGATTTGTTGAACTCTGAGACGACTAGGGTTTTGCATTTTTGGGGAACAAGATGATCGAGGTGGTGCTGAACGATCGGCTGGGGAAGAAGGTGAGAGTGAAGTGCAACGAAGACGACACCATCGGCGACTTGAAGAAGCTCGTGGCTGCCCAGACTGGGACTAGAGCCGAGAAGATTCGGATTCAGAAGTGGTACAATATCTACAAGGATCATATTACTCTCAAGGACTACGAAATCCACGACGGCATGGGCCTCGAACTCTACTACAATTAGGTCACTTTCTGACCACTCGTCGGTATTTTCTTTTCTTTTGCCATGAATTTTTGAGGCTCTGGTTAATTTACTTGGATTTATGATGGAATTCATATACACACGGAAGTCTGCTTTTCATGTCGTTTACGTGTGTTTAGAATTTTGTAAATATGGCCTATTTCTTGAACTTTGTGGCAGATGATCAGGATTTTTTAGATTCTAATGTACGGGTCTTGTTTTGTCATGAAATTCATAATTCGGTCCTTGGGTTTTGAACTGGATAAAGAGAGAACGAAGGGTCTTTGTTCACCAGACAATCGTGTATAATCTTGTTTGTTAGGTTTTTGGGAGATGTTTGTTGCGGTAATTTAACTCTAATGTATAATGATATCTGAATTACAGAAAACATTTGGCAGTTTTTGTTTTGAATCTTTTGATATGTGGCTTAAGCTAGAGATTTACTATTTCCCTCTTGTAATTTTTTCCTCGTACTTGCATTTCATGTTAAGGTGGTAGATGACTCTTAAATGCTAATGACAGAATGTAATGGAGAGTGATCACTTTGAGTGTGAAAGTACATATAATGAGAAATCATTTTCGAGAAGTATTAATTTTTAGTTGATTAGACATTGCTTTCGCTGTTGCAAATTAGGTGTAAAAGAAATTGGTGAAACTACAGTGTCAGATAAGGTTTTTTTTTTTTTTGTAGTGCTCTAATTTCTTTATCTATGTATCTATTAGGCCTGTATTTGTAACGTATTTCATGCATACAAGTCCTTTGAATGGTTTCCAAATTCAAGAAGGCTAAGTCGATAGACGACAAGCTTTGCTGACGTTCTTGTTCCTGCCAGAGGAATTATCATAACTCTTATCTCTTTGCAAAGAAAATACTTTGGAAAAATTGTTTATTGGTGTCATCCACCTAGGAAGCTGTCGCTGAATGTAAGTTGCAATTTATCCCGGTCTTTTCCCACTAGTTTTTTCTTAACAATCTTTTAGAAACGTAAGTTAAGAACTAACTATTGAGTCTCATATGGCCATGTTGGATCTACTATATTAGCATTCAACCTCCATGATCAATGAATCATCTTCCAAAAGCCCCAAACATTTGTTCACCATTAGAATTTGCTAATCGTTACGCTCTCACTCTCTAGATTTCAGATAGCTTCACCCTTTCAAATGGCCAAAATGGTGGGCCACTGGAATTGCCACAAATAGAGGAATGCTCGTAAAATTTTTATTCTTAAATCTCTTTCAAAAATAACCAAACACCCTGAACTAGTGGGACAACACCTCTGGTCCTCTGCAACCCTACCTATGAAGAAAAGTGCTTTGAAGAGGTGAAAGTTTTCTTTTAGACTATTTATTTAGGGGCCTAAATACAGATGAGAAGATTAAACCTCGACTTCTTAGTTGAACCTTACTCCAAGTAGCTGGATCTGTTCTCTTGTAGTTAAGGCGAGACAAGCTATACTTTCATCAATCACCAGTTTACCGGGGAGGTGCAGTGGAATGTTGCATTGAATTACTTATTACATAGGCATTATAATGATATCCTGTCGTATATAGCTAGCTTTCAGTACCACGCATGCTTGCTTTTCATTTGGTAGACACGACCGTTTTCATATTGTCCATGAATTGGAATGAGCTGATTTTGTCTGTTTTTGTGCAGTTAATGCATGTATGGAAAGGCATTTGGTGGCCTTTGCTATCACTCTCTCGTTAGCTCAATGTTGTCGTATGGTGGTGTGCCCATGTAATTTGTAAAATATGAAGCATATATTGATGACTGTTTCAGAATAAAATTCGGCAGTTGGGACTTCATGTAACACACAATCAAACTGGCTTATTCGGTAATATTGATATGTGGTAACTCTGATTATCTCTATGCTTTGAGGCCTCGTTTAATTTGTGTTTTCGTTGATTTTGATTTTTTTAAATAGCCAATTTAGGTAGAGGTTTGATTTGGAGAATTAGGGGTAAATGGTAATAGGTTATGGAATCTTTGAAACTATACAAATTATAGAGGCAGAGTAGGGCAAGGTATATATTCTCCTATCATCCTCACAGAACGAATAGAAAATTTTCCTCAGCCTCTATACTATTTTAGTTGAGTAACTCGAAATCCTGCTGAGGCTTGACATCCTTAATAATAATTCAATGTACTGGAAGCGCAAGGTAGTATAATTTGGAAAGAGCAAGTTAACTTGGGTTCGTGAAATTTAGACTTGATTTTGTGCAATTTGGATTCATTGTGACTAGAGAGGATATGTACTTTAACATTGTGAGGGGATGAGGATTCGAACTCAGCTTTAACTAGCTGAACGGTGTTGTGACTAGAGAGTTCATTGGACTTGTTGAGTGAGGATGAACTAAGATTTATGTGATCAATGGGACAAGATTTGTTCATTTTTTACTATAATTGGATCTAATATTTGTCATTTTGTACTATAATTTGTTTCATTTTTCTATCCCTACTTGAAAATTCTCATTTGTTGTTCCTCTCTCTACCTTCTCTTCACCATCACAGTCACCCTTCTTTCTCCATTCTCCAGCTGAACGACCTTAGAAATTAGTAGTTGAAAGAAGATAAAATTTGGTAGAGTCTTGAGTTGTCCATTCCTCTCCCAATTTTGCATGTAATTTGCCAGTTTCTTGTTCAGTGATCTTATTCGTCTACTTCCTAGGAAAATAGCTCAAAAGGTCACGTGAACTACCATTAACATTGAGAATTATTGATCTCCCTCTCTATTTGAAAATCATTTGAATGCAGGTCCTTTCATTGAGTCATCGCATTTCAATTCGAATTTGGTTATTTTAGTATTGTCGAAGATCCTCACTAAGCATTCATGACTAAATGGTTAAAGTGTCCAATTCATAATTGAGGATTACACATAAATGGATCTTATAAGACTCCTACAAAGGGGGAATACATATTTGTTCAAGTGTCTTTGGCACATGATTCTTCCTTAGAAGAAATGAGGACTTGGTTGCTGAAGGAGAGAAGAGGGGGTATTACCATTACTATTACAACCATGGGTGAGGAGAGGAAGTGAGGGAGAGAGAAGAAAGTCACAAACAAACTTCAATTTAAAATTATTTAGATTTGATCGTATGAAATTTTTCGTGTCATTATTTAACAGCACCTTTTTAATGACCAACAAAAAAAAAAAATCAAGTTTGAACTTAAAAAATATGATAATTGACACTTTATAAATGATATAAACTGCAATGATAATAACAATTAAGAACTTTTAAGAAATATTGAATTGCCGAATAGTATACCTGAATAATATCGTCTTATAAATATAATTTTAAGAATTACATATACAATATTGGATAGAAAAATGGTATCTCTTCTTCGAATCACAAGTTCGACACCTTTTTAAAAAGAGAACTTAGGTGTCAAATACTTATAGCCTCAATTAAGAGTTCTTTAAGTTATAGTAAAATTTACAAAATGTCATGTATTGTATATCATAAAAGTAATGTCAATAAATGACAATTAGACGCTTCAAGAAAAATAGCACGCCTCAGTGAAGAGTTCTTAAGTTCAATTTATGATTCAAAACGAAGTTTATTTTTTAATACATTAATTCTTTTAGCCATAATTGACATAAAATATATATACATATATAATAGGATCCCTGTGGGATTATTAAACAATATTACATGTTGTTCACGAATATGTTATATTAATTCCCCATCACACTCACATGGTTTGAAAAATGAAGGGTTCCAGATCAGAAGGGGCAAAAATTGTTTAAGGATATTGAGCTGTGTTTGGCAGTCGTCAAATTTGAAGGTAATAAATGTCTGTGTGTTGACTTAATTTGTAGCTAAAATATAAAATAACACCATCCCAGACAGGTCCGATTCTATGTTCATATCTCTCATTTCATTTGTTTGTTCACAACAAGCAAAATTAAAAAGAGAGAAAAAGAATGCAAAAGATTTTCAACTTCCCAGGTGGGCAAAAAACCAAAGCTGATCTCACAAGTTGACTTTCAAAACCATGGATTCTTGGATCTCGCTTTTCTTAAACTATTGCTCTTGTTTTCAAAAACCCAATGCCCTCCAACCCTCCACTCTCCGAGATTCTGGATGACTCAGATACTGATCTCACTAAAAGGATTTGAGAGTCAATAAAATTAGTATCCACTCGAATATTTATTTAAGTTCGAAATGAATGAAAGTAGTATCCATATTATTGGAGAGCGGGGAAAGGTTTCCACACCTTTGCCTTTGTTGGAAGACACCAGTTTGTCTCTCTGTTGTCTCGTGGTCTGTGAGATGGATAGTTGACTTTGGAGGAAGGTGGTGATGTGAAGATGGGCACCGACAAGGACAAGGTTGGTGGTGATGGATTCTAGGCAACAGACAGCAACAGCATGGCTTCTGCTATGTCTCTGTTTGTGTTTGTGTTTTGTGTTGTCTTTCTTTCTTTCTGTTGTTTGTTTCTCATCTCATTTCGTCACCCTCTAAGGGCCTAAGCCTAAGCCTACTCTACTACCCTATTTCTCTGGGATTCATCCAATTACCTTTTACACCCTGGCTTTTACTTTTGTACCCCTTTCACATTTCACAACTTTTTTCACTCAAAATCCCTTCTTCCTTAACCATGGTTAAAAAATTTCTACCAAGTTCCCAAGAAAAATATAATTGGCCATTGTATCTTTACACCTCTAAACTTGTCTAAAATGAGCTCGATCGCAACATTCTTAAATAATATAGATAGTTAGCATGTCACGTAAGCAATATGACCCGTAAGAGACGAAGAATAAATTTGTAGTTTGAACTTGCACATTCTAATTTTGAGCATTTTGAATAACAAAATGTGAGGAACTAAAAAGGAGAATCATTACTAGAGAACATGGAGTTTTCAACAATCAAAAAACAAGCCCAGTT